ATGGAGAAGCATCCCTGTTCATTGAGTGGGCAGCTTGCTAAGTGGGGAGGAACTTTTCTGATGCTCAGCCACAGTGTTGTGCAGCTGAGCAGCACGTAGACAAACTTCAGGACTGGCCACCTTGTCCTGGGCTCGGAAGAAGGCTGAAGCTCCCACTCCCAGGTTCCCAGTCCTGGACTCCTGCTATTGCTCTATCTCAGCAGCTGGCTTTCTGCCCCTCAGTACTCCGGCGTGGCAATCTTCAGGATACTAGCTGGGGAACTGGGACAGGAAGAGAGGGAGGAGGTGCCTGAGGACTCCACATGTCCAGTCATAAACTGAGCACAGCTGAAGTGCCCAGGCAACTTTAAGCCCAAGGTGGCCTTATCACCTGTTTGGCGTAAAGTATCAACGAACCTACCCAATAAACAACGGTGTTTATAAGCTATTTTGCTTGTTGTTTGCCTGAACCCAGCAGCATGGTTTGTTAACCACTATGGCTGTATTCAGACAATATGACAAGCAACTGCGGCTTATTGTGTTGTGTGAACCTAGTCAATCATTTAGGTTCACATGCTGTTCTGATAGAACATACAACCAGGAGTCCAAAGCATTTTGTGTCAGTGCAGGGTTTCTCTTTTTATTAACCTCCATGTATGGGGAGGGAGTATATTTTGGAAATCAGGTGGTGGTGGTGGTGAAGATCAAGAGTTAATGAGTTAAGAGTTATATGATGGTCCTGATGCAGACTGGGGCCGTTATGCTAGTTCTGAATAAAAAAGTATCAGCTTTATCATATAGTACAGTTTAATCTTTAGTGACTGAGCACAGTGCATAGCTGATGTGAAGCGGCACCACTCTCATGATTTGTTTCCAGTAAGAACTGTTTGACTTCCATCCTTCGTTAGCAACAGCTGTGACTTAAAACAAACAAAAAACAGATATTGGTACTTCTGTTGGTTCTCTCACTAGACAGAATTGATGTAAAGAATTCTATTTGCTATTTTTTCTTCCTTTGGTATTCCTTTGACCTCTATTATCTTTCTAGCCACTTGCTCTTCAGACTTCTTGACTTCTAGTAAATTTGCCAGAATTTGTGCTTTTTATTATATTCTTTAGAGCAAGACATTCTTCTTAAAGGCATCTGTATCACATTTTGTAGTCACCTTGACTATGCAGATTTAATGCGCAGTGGCATGTTTTTGGTCTTGTTTGTGCCTTTTATCATATGTGGCATAATATCTGTAAGCTTTTATATAGCTATATACTATGGATTACCTTCCCTTTAATTAACCCACTAGTGTTTGTAAAATTTGCTACTGGGAAATTAGAAATTGCTATACTGGGTTTTTTTCTGGGGGGGGGCAGCAATTTCTCACTTAAACTTTTTTTGATTTGAAAAGGGTGTTTATTTTGCATAAGATGCTTGACATCACTTGTAATTAAATCAAGAGTCACCTCTTTGCATGTTAGTGTAAAAATAAATATATCTAGAAATGTTACTTCTCAAGGCCTGAAGTTACATCTTATACTTAAAATGGCTGGTTAGTTGATGACATTCATTCTTATATTTTTTGCTTTTTGCTGCATTCCTGATTCCTGCTTGAATTTCAAGATCACCATTAGATTTTGGTCAAGTAGCATATTTGTGCTTAGTATTATATTTCTTTTTTAACAAGAAATTCTGGCCATGCAGTTCTTTGGATAAACTTGCTTCCTGAAATATTTGGAAGCTGTGCCATATTTTGACTTACAGTGCAATGCTACTTCCAATATGACCTACTCTGTCTTTTCTACAGATTTTCTTTCCAGGAATAACAGTATCCCATTGATTTTCACTGTTCTACCAGATTTCCTTATTTGCCTGTTATAGCTATATTCTTTTAGTTGCAGATACTCAGTAATGATTGGTTTATCCACCAGTTTATTTGTGCAAATAACTGCTTCCCATTTTGTCTACTTAACTGTTGATGTGAGTATATTGCTTGAGTGAATGGCTATTTGTGTGAAGAAGCTGGTAGGCCTATTGCTAAAACCATCTCTGTTTCAACTAAGGATTTACATAAAATCCTTGCTTGTTCTTCTTTTGTTTAACTAACCTTTGTTGAGAAACTTTCTTCTTGTACTTGTAGTTATTTGTTTTCATTAATTTTCGTGTGTGTGTGTGTGTGTGTGTGTGTGTGTGTGTGTGTGAAAAGAATAAATAGAACATGATCCTCAATAAAAGAAACATTTTGACAAAATTCATGCTCACCAGGAACATTTTTCTCAAAGGTCAGGTCCTTGTGTCTGACCTCATACTATGTCTCTGCAGTCTGTGCAACTCTAAACTTGGAGTGGTGAATAAAAACCCCTGTCCCCTATTATATAAAAATTTGAAATGGGGGTAGGGAAGGCGTATTTTGGAGTACCTATAGTGTGAGAAAGCAAATCTACAAGTCTCCGTGTCCTCACCACATCCCAGAGATGAGGCTCCTGCAGCAGATGGATGCACTGAGCCCAAAGCACCAGTGCAGATCCACCACTTCCTTCTGGCTTTAGGCTGGAACTGGGAGGTGAAGTATGTTATGATTCTGCTCTGGTGTCTGGCAGTTCTGGAGCCAAATTAAATTCAAGGCTTCAACCAGGCTTGAGAGCTGGGCAATTTGGTACCTACTCATTCTAAACATGGTAGAATAGGAGGTAGGAGGTAAATTGGAGGAAGGAGAAATGACGGAGAGGAAAAGAACAATGCCAAGGTTAGAAAGCAGTGGGAATAAAAAAAGGAGAATTTAGGTTGGGAGGTTGGGGAGAAGGACCATGAGCAAACTATGAAATAAGTGGTAGACGAAACAAAGATAGAAGGAAGAGAAGTCTGGATTTCCAGTCTACCCATTGTTCATCTGAGCAGAATTATCATAGCCCCAAGTGTCCTGTCTCATCCAGACCTGCCACTGGGTGATCAGTACCTGCTGCTGGAGACAGGATTCAGCTGGGTTATGAGGGATAACAGAAGGCAAGATAGGACTCAGTGGTCAAGCCCAGGTTTTCTTGTTAACAGGCTGCTGTGGAGTGATCAGAAAATTAAATAAAGAAGAAATTCACCTGCACCTTAGCTTGAGAGATGAAGAAGTCAAAGCAATATTGAGTGTGGCTAGGCTGACAAAGAACGGAATAAGGATAGAGGGGGCAATGGCCAGGTCATATGAGCAATGCACATGAAAGAAGAAACCTGAATCTTGGTATCGTTAGGAAATCAGATCCCCATCAACAGGCCTAACATTTTCAAAGGCTTTCAGAGATACTGAGTTTTGCAGACCTCTGGTTGCCTTTGCGTGACATGCCATTTGAAGTTCTTAATATTTGTAGCGGATTCCCCTTCCTTTTCTCTTCCTGCCTAGTAATAGGGCTATTGGTTGTTTCTGCCTCCAACAAGGCATTCTCCGCATGCACTACGATTTAAATAAGCCCTGCTAGCTTATTTGATCATGCAAACAGCTCCTTCTGTGCGAAGACCATGGAACACCCTTGAGCATGTTTATACTTTTTGTGGTGGTTGATAATACAAAACTGGTATCTTCCAACATTACAGTTATGTCAAGGAAAATCCTGTTTCTTGTATCGCTTTATCAAATACCTATTTGGAAATTGATTGTAAAACATTCTTCTGGGTATAGCGCTAGAATAGCCTGCATCTCTCTTTTCCTTGAAGCATCAACCAACACCTTGGAAAATTACTTCCCCTAAATGAGAGATTCTTGTGACATCTGATCCACTAAGCTTTCAGTTCTGTTCTGTGCACAATTCTAATTAGTGTGAAATAATACAATTTCACTACTTAGGGTGAATAATAACCAGTGGACCAAGTTTCAAATGGGCATTATTTGCTAAATTGAGCACTATTATTTCATCTTTACAATATTTTCTCCCTTTTCATTAAGTAATTGCTTTTGCCTTCATGACTTAAATTGAGGAACCTATGAAATGAAGAAAACAAACAAACAAAAAATCTCTCAATGATCTCAGTGAAGTGTCTTTTCTTGCACTTTTAGGGCAGGGGTGGGGAGTTAAAGCTACAGTGTATGTGTAGATACAGGTAAGCCCACATAAGACCAAATCTGAATCATTTAATAGAAGGTTCCATTTATATATGACCAGTGTGACTTCCAGTAAAACATGTTCAGTATCACAGCCTTTAACACTCATGGCTATGGTGAGCAAAAGAGTCAAGTACTTCCACATTTTGATTGAAATGTGAATGAAGATTCTGCCTTCTATAGGAAAGAATGGAGCCTTCATATAGGACTATGTCCTCCTATATCTGAGCATCTTTGAAACAAGCCAATGTCTGTCTTCTGTAACCAGATTGTAGTAATCCTGAATTAGAAAACTTGTATTTGGCTTGTTTACATACAGACAAAAGGCCAGAGTATTTAAGCCATATGTTCTCCCATTTCTCTTTACTTTCCTTGCATTTAATTGCTTCAACTTTGGATTAACCCCTTTATTGACATTTAAAAAAAAATCAAGGCTGGAGCAAGTTTGGGGAAATTTACATCAAAAGTAAGCAAATCATGTCAACAAATCATGGAGAATGGGCACTAACATTTACTTTCTGACAAGGAACTAGTGGGGTGGGTGAGTGCCCAAATGCACATCTTGTTGTTCCAATACACCACTTCATTCACAGTATTCTGTTGACTTAAACCTGGAAAACAGGTTTACAGTCCAAGGCAGCCCTGTCCTCTTGAGTTAAACAATTGGTATGCTATTGTTGCCTAGTGCTCTATCTGGGAAGTGAGATAAAAGTTGAATTCCAGTTAATTGCTTGGTTTGGATAAAATAAACCTTCACTTCTTGCTTATCTTACAAATCAACCCAGAATTCTTGCTCTTTAAGGCACACATTATTTCAAGCCTGCATGCAATCTGAAGAGGGTTCTTTTTTAGTTTATTTTTACAGAAGAAAAAGAAATAGGAAATACTATGCTTAATTCTCTAGAAAGCAAATAATTTTATTCTGTTTCTAATCTTCATTTATAGCACCAGCAACAAGTGGTGCAGGCTGTGGAACGTGCCAAGCAAGTGACCATGGCAGAACTGAACGCAATCATTGGGGTATGTGGTCTTTCCATTTTAGCTTTAATAGTCTTTTTTTATTAGTTCACTTTCTTTTTTCCAAACGTTGCTTTTTGTTGTTAAGTTTAGTTCTCTCAGCGGGTTAAAAACATATTGGACACCAATGGACATAGCAATCCGGAACATCTGTGTTGCTGCAAATTGGTCAAGTTGGCCATTTGATGGAGCCTTCCCCAGCAGTGTAGACTGGGTAGTTAAAGCTTCCAAATAACCAGTTCATGCTGCCATTGACCGTATGGCCATTTCTCACTTTCATTTTCCTAGGGCACATTCTCAGAAATGACAATCAACTCTGAAATGGCTATTAAATAAACAGGAGACTCTCATCCCTGAGGGTACTTTGCCAGACATATAACTAAGACTTTGTGTCAATGTTGTTGTCAGCTCCTCCTTTACTCAGCAGAAATAATCACTTTCATGAATGATGTAAGGTGTGAGTTGAAAAATCCACAACTTCTACAGTCTAAAATGCCCCTTTCGATGATCTGGAAATTGCCAAAGCAGAAGACTAAGTGGGATGGTGCATAAGGTGCAGGATTTGTAGAAATTGTTCCTGCCAACCCTGCATCTAATGTATTATTTTTACTTTCTCAAAATTACCAGCAGCATGTCATGCCAAAACTCTCAGGGTGGTTAACAATAAAAATTCTATTTCAAAATACAGCAAAACGTTAAAAATGGCAAACACTATTCCAAAAGCAACAAATCATCAATCATAGCAGATAAATTTGTATATATTGGCCCTGAAATCTGATTATTTTCTGCACACTCTTCCTATTGTTTATGATAGCAGTGCCTTCTGTGAGTAAGGAAAGAAGCCAGAAGTAATATCTGCACAAGCCCTGAGATAGATACCAGACAGAGCTCCCCAAAAATGGCTAGGGAGTACCCCTGGCTCCTGCCTCTGATTATTTTCACAGGGCAGCATTATTTGCTCATTTTGTGCTTGCTGGTTTGTGCACATTTCAAGAACATCTTAGGAGAAAAACTAGAAGGTAAATCTTGGAGCCAAAGACATCAGTGGTCGAGGAGCCCCATGTGAATGATACAAATGGGTTGGGTTGGCTTACCTTGCCATTATACTGTGTGAAAGCAACTTTCGATTACATCTGTTCTATCTATCAGTGGAATAATAAAAGTAAATATTTCATCTTATCTTCCTGTTATCATACTGCTCGATAGTTTTCTCTTCCATTGCAGCACATCTTTTTGACCACTTGGCCAATACCATTGGAATAATGTTGCAGTGAAATCATGTCCTCTGCACTTTGCAACCAGGACCCAGAGAAATGCACTTAGGGCTTTGTCTGTGCATGTAAGGATTCCCTTTTTGTATCTCATCTCCTCATACTCCAAAAAGCTTGTCCTAGAGTGGAGAGTCCTCCTGGGCCAGTATGCACTGTAGCACAAGGGAGTGCTACAGCCTCCGGGGGAAATCTGGCCATACAGATGTGCTTATACATGCAGATTTCTGTGGAGACCAGCTCGAGGTCATCCTAATCACCTATGTTTGGAAATCACAAGTCCTATTCACAAGAAAGTAATTTTAAGGAATGAGGCATCAGACAATAGACTCATAGTACCCATCTGTCATTGCATTAGTTGGCCTTTGATTGTTCTAACTAGAATATGATTTTCTCTCCAGTTGTGCATCAACTAGGATATGATTATATCTCCAGTTGTATAAGAAATTTCATCCCAGTGTTACCATGTATATTCAACAAAAACAAGCTTGCCATGGGCATGTCAGGCTCTAGATTCTAGTGCCTAGTGACTAGAAGATGTACAGAACAAACTGCGGAAGTTTTTTAAAGGATCCTTTCTTAAAAAATAACTTTTAAAAATCCATTTCTAAAGACTGAGAAAACTGTTGGCTGTTCAGAATAGCCATATAAATAAAGGTGAGAAAAATCACTAATAGCCCATGATTCACATCTGTTTGCTGTTTAAGTCATTCTAATGAAGACTGCACCTTCCCCTTTTCTGCCCACTACTAAATGCTTTTTTTCCTTTTGTGTATCAAATATATATGAAAGTGTCTTTCAAAAAATGCAGTGTATCAAATACACTTTGAAATGCTAATTATTCCATTTGCTTCCATTAAAATTCAAATTGCTGAGTGAAGATGTGGATAAGGGTTGCTGAATAATCAGTCTGTAGTGAAGATATTCCTTCATTTATGCTTCTGACTTTTAACAAGGAAACATGGGCATTCTGATCATCACTGACAGCATTGTAGAGGAAAGTCTGATTGTAACTTGTTTTTCTTAATAGGCTATATTGAGCTCCCTTTCCTATCCCTCTGACCACAAGAAAATACCAGCAGTCAATTAAAAAATATAAATGGGAAAGAGTAACCTTTATTTCCTCTGAAGTGCCCCTTAGAAAGAAGGGGATGAATCAGACGGAGTGGGTTGTGTAGAATCATGAATAACATTTGTTGTATGTCTTTTACGCTCCAGTGGGGAGACTAGAAGATGAATAATTTCCCAATTAGTTTTCATTACCTAATAAAACTACCGCTATCTAAATATTCTTTGAATAAAATAAATTGCAAAAGGCCAGAAATTTTTTTTAAAAAAATACAGCTCATGAAAGTGTGTACATGGCTTTTTTAAATTTCTAGCGACTGTTTTTAAAAAATAACTTGACTTTTTTTTTCAGTCAGAGCACCTACATCTTGTGGTATAGAATGTGTAGTTCTGATTTGTTTCTTAACTGTTTGGGAAATTTTCAGGTGAAAAGCTTCGTTTTAACGTCTCTCTTAGTGTGAACTGTAAAGTGCCCAAATACATCTGTGCTTTCAGCTTGCTTAGAAATATGCTTGGATATACTTGGGTTCCAGTATCTCATACTGAGTTAAATATCATACAGTGGTATGAATATTTAAATGAAGAAATGTAAAACTAAATCTATGTCAACAAAGACCTGTAGGGAGCAATTCCATTGCAGTGTCTGAGGGGGCCACAGCAGTCTTTGGATTTCCAGTTCCAAGGTCGGGAACTGCACTTTGACTTCAAAGCACTGATGCCTCTCTGCCACCCCCTTGTAGCCAACAGGGCAAGTGAGGTCTTTAAGTTTGGGAAGGCGACCTCAAAGAGAGGAAGAGAGGGTGCAGGAACCTGGGGAGGCCAGGTATGAGGTATCCTGACAATTCTCCAGCCTCCTCTTCTCCCTTTTAAGATGTTCCAACTAGATGGGCATGTCTAGTGAAATGCAGAGGGGAAGGATGAGAAGGCAAAGATCATCTCTACTACTTTTCCCACTTTACATTGGATGTCCCTCAGGGGCTTATGGGCACCCCAATAGAACTGCACCCTTAATTTGCTAAATTTGTAGGAGGATGGCTTTTCCTCAGGAGGGGACTATTTCACTGAATATGCATTTCAGAGCATAAAACAGCACTCTCCAGTCATTTTCAGCACCCTTGAAATGATGTCTACAAAACAGTAGTATTTCAGTTACATGAAAACCATGGGGCTGATGCAGAGCGTGCTGCCTTTAGTTTATTTCCAAAATGGAAAGATAGAGTGTAAAAATGATACAAATAAATCAGAAATGTGAGTAGAAGAAAGTATAGCTCTTTGTAGAATAAAAGAACTGACACAGGGATAACAGAACTGAGCAAAAGGAATGATAATATGTAGTTCCATTTCATGAAAATATATTTATAGTGCGCTGTAGATCCTTCATAGCCTGATGCTAGGATTTCATGAAACCTAATGAAACACCTTGTTAACTTTGCAATATTCTGCCTTCATTGGTAAATGAACCAAACCACTGATCCATGCCATTTAAATGTGGAATACCGAAGTGAACTTGAAACATGGAGAGACGGATTGTTCTCTTGACAGTAAACTAGTTGTGTTTAATGGAATGAAACACTTATAATGACTTCTTTCACAGGTCATGTTCCATACAAAATTACTGACAGATTGACACAAGTTAAATATTAGCCATTCTTCTTAAAAAATTGTTTTTTGTGGAAAATGATGGGAGGAAGACATGTGTGTGTTTAGGGGAGTGGTGGGGGGGGGGAGAACCTATCTGTTATAATTTTAACAGCAGGCTAAAATAATTTGTCATTGTTCAAGTTCCAGACTTTTTATTCCAAGCTGCTCTTATTACTTCATTTAGTATCCCCTCAGATTCTTCACTGAGATGTTTTGTGGGTTTAATGAGTTTGTCTGGTGCAATACAGTTCAGTTGCACAATGCTACTAGTCTTTCCCACTTCCCCCTTTCTGCCTTTTTCAGATAATGTTATACTTTAATGTTCAGTCGGTTATAAATTGAGTTGCTCTTCTGCTAATGGAAGAAATACTGCAATCAGTGGATGTTCCAGCCAAAGGAAGATTTTCACCAGTTTCCCCTTGTGCCACATTCCAAGCAGGTCTGGAATTATCCTCAGACTTCCAGAATAGGTTAGAGAGTATCCTGAAGAAAAAAATACCTCAAAGGTAATTTGAGGTAAACCTCAGAGGTGCTCTGGATCCAAATCACTGAGAGCAGATAAAATAGCAATGTTTTAAACATTAGGGGTACAATTAATGTAAAATTAGTCACAACTTATTCTGATCAAAATAAATGAGAACAGCTAGCCATGACCATTTTTTCCTGGATTATATCCTAGGAAAGATTATGTGCACTGCTATAATAATGTATATTTTATAATTATATATTAGAAAAACCATATGATAAATATGATCTGATTTTTTAATCTCTCTCCCTCACACACTTGTACACTCACACACAATATGAGATGGAGAATGGTTTATAATCAGGCCACTGTGTCTGATTGCTTGCTGTGGGGCAGGGCAGAACGGACTAAGAGTGGGAAGGCTAAAATAATATAACCAATTCAGTGGACATGGTGGTAGTGGTGATGACTGAAAGAAGGGCCAGGAGCTGGTATTACTTTGCACAATGAAGCCTGTCTCCTTGTCTTCTCTGGAACTTGATTTTTCGTTATCAAATGCC